GAAGTTCTATGTGGACGGGCCTTTACAAGTTTTTGCGTTCGCGTACGCAAAAACCTTGCAAAGTAGGGGAAATTGAGAGAGCAAAGTGACATTTCATTTTGAGGGGAAGCTGCTGGTTTCTGTTGGAAAATTTTTGCCAACAGCAATTTGCCAACAGGAAAACAGCTGATCAAAAACAGCTGGTTGGCATTTACGCAAATCGCAAAATTGAATTTGATGGTTTGGACATTAAAAATTACAAAATGCGACTAATTAAACTTGTAAGAAATAAGTAGTTATTTGTTTAATCAATAAACTGTGTCAGTATAACACTTTGTGATAACTTTTCGTACGTTTTAAATTTTACACTTTTGAATGTAAACAAAAATTATATCAGCTGTTCGTCTAACTTGCAAGTTTCTGCAAATTTTCTGTTCGCGTACTATTTTGGATATTTCTCTCTTGTGAGCGAACAGATGACATTTCCCCGGAATTTGGCAGTTCTTTGGTTTCTGCTGGAGATTTTAAACGAACGCACCTATTAATGACCGGCTAACCGCAGGGTTGTATTGGATAAGCAAGAAATACATGCATAATCCATGGTTAAAGAATAGCACTTCACCTTTTCTGTAATTTCGAAATAAATCTAGCTGAGTTCCAATTGTAACTTAAGTTACATTAACGCAAAGCCTCTTTTATTACTGAACTATAACTGATGTAAAAGTCCATATGCGCAACCACGTTCAAATGCCGAATTGGAACTTAGTTGGGCAAATTGGACATTTCCATCAATTATAGTTTACAAATAAAAGAGGCTGATGCTTTGCATTAATGCAACTTGGAACTCAGCCTCTATTTGAAAGGGCTAAAATAGGGAATCAGCTAATTATTCCAGGGAATTTTTATAGCAGAAAAACGTGATCACGGTGGCACAGAGAAGAAACATAACTTTTCCTTGAGATTTGAGAATAACAAGCACAACAAATTTGACTGCTAATAATCTGAGATTTACCTGTGTAAACGGGGTGATTAAAAAACGAGCTTTGATTGAGATAATATTGATATGTGAACATAGTTTATGTGTCGTTTGGCGTGAATTTCATATCATTTACTAAAATATTCGAACACAAACCACTTCTTCGTAATCCTGTGATTTTTTGCGATTTTGTCTTGCCTCTTTTTCTCAAATTAACCAAGACGTGACCGAATTGTCCAATTTACGAAGACAAAGGGAGAAGTGTGAATACATTAGTAAAAAGTGTGCATATATTGCTATTGTCTTCGCAAAATTGTCCTATATGAACCCCCCCACCCCCCAAGTTATAGCCCAGTTATGCATACTTGCAGTGCTATACCATTCTTACGTAATAACCAAAACCCAACAAAATTTTACATGTTAAGTGCTATACGTTGGGTAACCGCTTACACGCAAAGCCCGTTAAAAGATTCTTATGTGACAACTCTCATCCAAAGCTAAATATGCATAACTGTGCTATTATTCTGTGGAAGTTTCATGCACGTGTACTTAGGCATGAAATATCGGCGATAGTATCGATACTCAGGACCATCGATAGTTTGACACCACTAATAAAGGCCATTAACTTGAACCAGAGATGTTGCGAATATTTGCATACGCATTCATTATGCGAATGATTCGCATTATTTTACACATTTGAATCAAATGATACGAATATTTTGCGAATGCGAATGTGTAAACGAGCAGAGTCCACTCTACTATTGTTGAAATGGCTCTAAGTCTGTCTAACCAGGGTGCGGAAAACAACCGGTTTTTTGTTTCAGGCGCTAAACGGTTTAGTAGTATATGAAGCAACATTGATGGGCCTTCAACAAGTACTCCTAAAATTCTAACAAGCAACCTAGAAATAATTTTAGATTCCTCCAGCGAAAGCGAAGGCTTGGATGTAGAATCTGGACATAAAAAATTTGAAATTAAAGCTCAATTGAAGGCCTATCTTAAAGAAAAACGAGCTCATCGCGGTGGAAAACTAAACTTAATACAAGTTGACAGATCTGCCCCGCAAATATTTGAGCGCTCCACCTGCCAGCGTTCCAAGTGAGCAATTGTTCAGCGCATCCGGCCTTATGTACGAGCCTCTAAGAAATTGCCCCATGGGAGAAAAGGCCCCTTTTGAACTTTGACTACTAGATTAAAACACTGTATAGATTTTTTATTAATATTATTCCTAACATTCGCATTCGCATTCGCATATTCATATTCCGAAAATTCGCGTTCGCGTTCGCAAATATTAAAAATATGACATTCGAAACATCCCTAGCTTGAACATATTTTCAGAAGTTTGGAGTAACTTTACATAGCCACTAGTTAACGCTAAATTATGGCAATTATCTAATAAAACTTAAATGTCACTACATATCTATTTTTTTCAATAATCCTGTATTTGCATAATTTTCATGTAAACTTGAATGCCGCGTAAACCTCGTAAATGAACCGGTTTAGAATACAAAAGTAAGTTTACGAGGTTTACTTGCTTACTAGACGTATTCGCATTTAGATGAATACTCCTATTATAAAAAATAAATAGAAATTTAAATTAGTTTACATTGCGTCAGTGCTGCACAGCATCTGATGACTTGTAGGCATTAGCACCTGAGTAATTCTCTATAAGTAGTGATTTATAACGCCGCAATTGTACGACAAAGCCTTCCTCACGCTCACTAACGTCGAGCACAACAACACGAGACACCACCAGATGGGTTGGATTCGCTTGACTGAAACCACGTACTACGTCAATCTCATCTCCCACATTAAGCTGAAAATGAAATCTATTTTAGAAGGAAGCATAAAGCATAAGTATATTTTAAGTCATACTTGTACACTTTTCTTGTTCAGTTTTTTGCCATTAACACGTACTTTACTTTCATAGAAAATAGCCTCTACTTTGCTGTAAATATACATAGTACATTGAAAACGCCCAATTAGTATAATGAATAACTTACTTCCTAGCCATTCCTAATCCAGCTTTAATTACCAAATCAGCTCTCAATGAATTGACACTTGTCTTAAGCACTTTGGAATCTCTTTCATCTTTAAACTCTACTCCACTCTCATCGTCACTATCACTTTCATCGTCCCGTTGCCTAGATTTTTTGCTATGCTTCTGCAATATTTGTCCTGTATGTATTTGGAGAATAGTGTGGGGCAAGTGATTATACCATGTTTTAGGCGCGGTATCTGTATTTTTTCGACAAACCACGACTGCCGGCCGCACCGCATTATTTTGAGTAAAACTAATTATTCTATTAAATGTATTTACATTTCTTAACTTTATCATTTTTGATATCGAATACGTTCTGCCTAAATGAGATACTATAGAAAATTGTTATGAAAAACTATAGTCCAACATAACCTTAAAATAAACAGCTGTTGAACAGGGCTGCCGTGCTAATGCGTTGTAGGGACAACGAAATTAAGCCAAAATGTTTAATTCTTCTTTTGTTTCTTTTTTTGGCGCTTCTTTTTTGGTTTTTTGTTTGGATTCGCTTGTATTTTGTGTACCGTTAAAGGCTTATACATTTCTGGAAGAAAATCGTCGGAATCGCTCGAGGTCAAATCATTACTTTCATCATTGCGGTTTGGTGTACCTATAACGTGTTTGCTTTTCTCTTCATGGTCGGACGTAGCTGGTTTTTTGGTTTTCTCTGCAACTTTTCGTAAAACATCTTCCAATTTCTGTTCATCCTCTGCCAAGTTTACTTTCTCAACGTCCATAACATCCGAAAAGGATATAAAATCTCCTCCCCATTGCTTATTTGTATTTTCTATCGTGATCATCTCTGTCGCATTAGGAAGTGCTTTGCATTCAAGTTTAGTAGCTGTTTTCCTTACCAGTTTAATTCGTTTCGGGATTGATCTTGCTATCTTTGTATTCAGGTGCTTTGTGCGGGATTCAATCCAATGAATAAGTGTATCTAGCTTACTCACACGCATTTCCTCCAATGTAGGTAAAACTAAGGCAAGCGCACGAATACCAAAAACGTCTTTGGTAAATTCCTCTAATTGGCTTTGTACATAAACAGGCACTGTGGCATCTTTAGCTTCGACATTCCGCGCTATTAGTCTTACCAAAAATCGAGGTTGAATGGTCAAAGACAACAAAACACAAGAACATTTCGAGTTATTGATAGCACGCAAACTACTCTCCAATCCCAATCGAATATGCGCCGAAGTAGCGAACTGTTGTGGCCTTTGATTGCTGTTGCTGATGGCATCGCTCAGTAACTGTTGGAGCTGCTGCAATTCTTCATCATCCAATGCTGGACTGAAAGTGTTATATAGTAAATCTTATTACAGAAAATATATTGATACCTACCATTTATCCTTGTTTGGATTAGCCAAGATTGTTTTCAATTTCGGTAAACCCTTCCGTTTTCCCTTTGTTTCCTTAGGTTTATTGTTACTCATGATAAACAAATGGAAAAATCTAAAAACACCGAAAAATGCGATCTCCACGTTTTTGATTAGAGATCAGCTGATCATTAACAGGCTTGCACTTTTTTTCGCTGAAGAATATGAAAAGAAGAAATTTGGTATCGATAAGTATTGATAACTTTCTAAAAAATTCAGCGAATAATCGATTGTAAGCAGAGATCTGTATTAACCTTATATAAAGTTCGTTCTATAACGGCCATGCCAGATATAACTTCTGCTTCGCGTTTCACGAGTATAGTGTAAAAATTTTCCCTAGGCGCACATTGCTTCTAATGAATATGAAAGGTAATTACCGGGTAAAAATTAAAATAACTGACATTGCATAACTAGCTTCGATGAAAACTATTTTACTTTGAGGCTGGAGTAAAGCTTTATTTTATAATGTCAGTAATGGATTCATTGTTTTATACTTATACACATACAGTATATGTATTACAGTTTTTTTTTTATATAAAAATAAATATTAATTTAAAATAGAATAAAAAATTAGAATCTAAAATTAATCTAAGGTAGGCATAACGTCAGTGTCGTAAGTAAATGTCATAGGCTTCATTAGTGTATCCTCAACCGTAATACTATTTGAATCTGCAAAGTCGTCTGATCTTTCAGCTTCTATTGTTGAAGTTTCTATGGTTTTAGCCTCTTCGACACTATTATCGACGACCAGTTCATAAGGTAAGGTGTTTTGAATATTATAGTTTAGGCTGGTAACAGACCGATCTTCCGATGAATCCGTTGTACTACTTTCGGTACTAAACTCCGTTACCGTTAGTGTTGTTAGATTACTAAGATTGAACTCAGTAGCGTCTGAACCCATTGTAGTCGTTTCTCCACTGTTAAAACAAACGACAGTAGGTTGCAAATTATCTGACTGAGTTGTTTCATCATGGACAGAAGCTGTACTTGTAGCCCCTTCGATGGCTTCTTCTCTTAAAGTATTATCCATAGAAGTTTCCAAAATTGCTTTAGTAGTGGTTGTTATTGCAGTCCATAAGTTAACTGTGCTTTCAGTGGATGTTGTGGAAATCTCAGTTAGCTCAGAGAACGTGGTTGGCTCAATGGCAATAGTTGTATCCAGCGGTAAACTTGTGATTGGACTTTGCATGGTTGACACGCTATTAGTTGAAGTTTTCTCTTGTTCCTCTTGTGGGGTAGGTGTAGTGGACCCATGCTGAGACGTAGGAATACCTCGGGTTATAGTGGACTCGTTTTCGATTGTAGTATGACCTTGCGCATTAAACTCTCCTTCTGCGGTCCAAATTGAATAAATTGCCGTGGTGGCAAATGAAGTAGGAGTGACGGACACGCGTTCAAGCGTTAGTGGATAATCCGAGATAGACTCACTTTTAGTTGTAATCTCTGCCTGGGTAGTAGATATACTAGGGTCATCTTCGATTGTTAAAACATTTTGGCTTAAAGTCTCAACCTGCGTGGTTGAAGAAGAGGCCTCATTTTGAATTGTTGATAAAACTTCAGTTGTAGTTTCCTCAAGCGTAGTTGATGTGGCGAACTCATTTTGAATTGTTGATAAAACTTCAGTTGCGGTTTCCTCAAGCGTAGGTAACGTGGCGAACTCATTTTGAATTGTTGATATCACCTCAGTTGTAATGTCTTCCACGGTGTTCATTATGTTGGACTTATTTTCAATTATCGATACAGTTGTAGTCTCCTCTTCTCTTATTGAAGTTGAATCAATTTCTGTGGTGACAATTGGTGTAGAAGTGACGGAAACGGTAGCAGTCGATACTGAATACTGCGTAGGAGATTCACTCTGGCCACTTGTGGAGAGTTCCGAAAACTTTTGAGTTGTCGTTGTAATTGACTCAGTCGATAGCGTGGTCTCTGAATATTGGTTGGGTAATTCTGCAGCAATAGGAACAGTTTCCACCAACACCGAATCCTTGGAGTCAGTCGTCGAACTTTCGGTAACTTGCATTACTACAGAATTTATTTCGATTTTTTTAGTAGTGTTTGTATTTACTACATTTACAAATGCTACGTCAGGTTTCACTGTTACTACATACTTTTTCTTAGAGGGCACATATGGAGCATATTTTTTTAGCGCCGGCGGCTTATGATTTCGTATCCTTTGTTTTGCCAACGCTACGAAATAGTCACGTGCCCTTGGCACTACGTTTTTGGATTCCCATGATTTAAGTAAGGGGCAGTTCAATATCATACCTAAGGATATACTATAATCTGACGACTTATTTCGTGGGCCTGCGTGAAATTTAACATAGTCTTTTATATCTGTTGCGCGGCAAGCTGTTCCCGAAATTGACACATATATTAAAACGAAGATCACTTCAAACCTCATTGCAATGCAAAGTTTAAAATCGCACTGAACTAAGGAGTCGGCGAAAAATTGCAATCCCGGGTAGGAGGTAGGGATAATTAAGATGTGAGAGATTTTTACACTACTATCCAGGTAGCTGCTGGGAAATGATGGCGCTCTCAGACCATTGAGGCATTAGATAGTACCTGTGCGAAGGGCATGTACGTAAATAGTATGCACAACACTCATGGTCATTAGGGTGTTTCATTTTTTGGCGATATTTTTTTCTCTTTGATACCTGAAAATCAGATACTTTATAGAAAAAAAAATTGATGCCGTTCGAATTTTCGGGTTTAAAAAATTTTGTTGGGGAAAACTGAGTGTACAATTGTTGTAAGGCACGAAATTTGCTACAAAAAAGACCCAATAGTTCTTGAGTTACAGAGCTGGAAAGATAAATGTTAATACAAATTTACATCAAATCTCTTTTAAGTCTAAATTATTATTCTTACATACGAAATCGGTTATAATAAATTGTAAAAACAACCTTCAAATTCAGTAAATAAATACATATAAATTTTGATGAGCCGTGTGAATAAAAACTAATAGCGTCTTCTTTTCTCGAAAAAATGTTGCATTTATTCTGCCCTGCCGCATGCATATTGCGTGCTAATTTTTTTTTTCGAGAAAAGAAAACGCCATAAGCAATTGCATTTTCTTAGAACTAAATACCTTTAACATAATTTTTTTTTAATAAATCGCGCAAAAGGTCTGGAATTGAAAACAAGTAATTTTTAGCAAAAAAAGAACGACTTCAACTCTCATATATAAAAAAATATATATATATATGTCTCATGATCCACTGATAGGATCTTAACCAGATTAGTACGGAACCACCTCTGATACACTACCTTTCCGATGCAAAAAGAATTATCGAAATCGGTTAACGTGGTCCAAAGTAATGCGGTAACATACATAAAAATAATAATAATAAATATATAAAAAAATATAAAAATATTCCGACGAATTGATAACCTCCTCCTTTTTTTGGAAGTCGGTTAAAAAGGTACTTTTTTCATTTCTGAGTTGGTGGTGGTAACATTAATGTTTTCTTATTAGCATCCGGAATTGCTTCAAAAACTGTTGGTTGGACGGCGTTTGCTCAGAGGAACTTTTTTGTAGCAAATTTTATTATCTACATTTTTTTATCACCGAAAAAATTTAATTGATACGAAAAAAAATTTCCCCTCTTATTTATATGGGAAATCGAATTTTTGAAGGAAAAAAAATATCGCCTAAAAATTTAACGCCCTTATGTATATACGTACATACTTATGAATATATCTATGAATATTTAAATATACATATGTGCGTATAAGCAGGTATATAATTCGTCCACAATATTCAGTGTAGCTATGTTTTGTGCATATGTTTGCAGAAAAATAAATGCGTGCATGTATACATACCTATGTACAAATGCAGTCAATATATTTACCATAGTGAGGTAATGATATATGTATGTACAATCATGTATTAAATGGAACAGGTAAGCTTATTTTATTTAGCCATGTACATTTATACCTATGCACGTTTTACATACCTATATACATATCTGTGTTCGTATGGAAAAGTAGCTTATGTCGATACTGACTTCTTGTAATAATTCAATATGATTACGTACTAAAGTTCTCAGTTTTAATGCCAAGAAAATATTTCAATTCGCCACAATCGGACATTTCGAATTTCTCACTTAAGATACTTTTCAACCAAGTAATTGAGGAAACTTCATTTCCAGCAATAAACAAATCATCAACATACATAATAACGATTAAGTAACAATCACAAGCAATAGTCAAGGTTTCATCTGGTAAAGCCAAGTTTGAAGCAAATATTTGTTAAACTTCTGATTCCACTTCTTAGGGCTTGATTTAATCCATAAATAGATTTCCTAAGTTTGCACGCTTTACCTGGTTCCACTTCAACCCCTTCTGGAAATGCCATATAAAACTGTTCTTCTAAATCACCATGTAAAAAGGAAGTTTTTACATCAAGTTCATGAAATAATTGATGTTCATGTACACCAACTGCCAGAACAACTCTTATAGCCTTAAGTTTGGCCACGGGAGCGTGAGTTTCGCTGTAATCAATTCCTTCTTTTTGTAGGAATCGTCCTCTTTTACCCGAAATAGCCATTTTGACTTCAGTAACTTTTTGCCTCCCGAAGGATCATCATCTTTTACTGCATATTCAAATGAGTCATTCGCCACTTCCTCGTCTCTACAAGTCTCAACTTGATCTTCTGCACATGTAAAATTTTTAGAAACACTGCTTTCAGTATTGGGAACTTCTTCATCTGTCACGAGAACGACATTTCCATCATCCCCTTCTTGCTCATGCCTGCGCATTACACGTAATTCTTGATTATGTGACTCTTTGCATACTTTATGTTTGAAGGGAAAAACAGTCTCCTCAAACTTCACATCACGTGCAATGAAAATTTTCTGCATATTCATGTCCCAAAGTCTGTATCCGTTTGGCATTACCCAACCAAGACTGACCTACGACTTTTGGAATCCATTTTATTTTTTTGTTGAGTAGGTATCCATGCATATGCCATGCAACCAAAAATTCTAAGTTTACTGGGATCTGGTTTGATACCATACCACATCTCCGAAGGCGTGGCTGACCAACTCAATGATTTTGTTGGGCTCCTGTTTATTAAATAAACCGCAGCTTCACACCCATTCGTCTCGGCGTATTAGTTTCAATCAACAACGATCTCACTTTTTCAACCAATGTTCTATTGAAACGTTCAGCAACTCCATTTTGTAGAGGGGAATATGCAACCGTTTGTTCAACTTGAGTTCCCTTTTGTTTGTAGCAAGCCTTCTGTTCTTTGGAGCAGTATTCTTGTCTTTGATCGACGGTTCATTTTAATATTAAAGTGCCGAGTTTAGCAGTTACAATAACTTCATACTCCATCATTGCTTTGAAAACATCACTTGTTTTTTTACCTTCCTTTTATTAGCTCGAGATGTAACTATGTAATATTGATGCACCTAAAAGATGCAGCGATTTCTATTCTCAAGTTACATACCTGATGACAGTACGAATGGCAATTATAATAGCGAGGTTTTAGTTTTTTAAACTATAATTTTTGATAGTATACACAAACGCAAAATGTGTGTAATCATCGATGAACGATACAAAATATTTTGATCCATTCTTTTTATTTACTTCGTTCGCGATGTCCATTAAATAGATCACGACTATGTTTTGCTTGTAAGCACACATCACAAAATTTGAATTTCTCCGCCTTTAATTTCAAGCCACATACCATTTCTTTATTTATCGCTTCATCAAAAGCTTGCTATCCAATGTGTCCAAAACGTTTGTGCTACAACTCGACTTTGTCTTCGTTACATATATACGCAGAGGCACGTTCGATGCCTACTTCAATTTCATATAGTCCATCTCGTAAGTACGTAGTCGCTAGCAAGTCTCCATTCTTTACAATATTTGCCTTATTTTTGCAGAATATTACATCAACACCAGCATTCGTCAGCTTTCGGACTGATAACAAATGGTCACGCAATTCTGGTACATACAAAACATCATTCATAACAAGCTGGACTCCTTTGTTACTCATTCCACTTATTTATTTTCCGTGAATACTTAGCGCTCAAGCTCTGATTATCTTTTGCAACATTTATGAAAACTGGATTATGTATTTTAAAAATATCTCGAAAATACCGTTTCTCTTTGGCCAAATGGTCACTCTCGCACCTGAATCTAGTTTAAATTTCTCGCATATCATTTCCGCCACCAGCACCAAAACAAACTCTTTCAATTCTAGTTTCTTAGCGGCACTACGAGCTTCACCTTGCTTACAATCTTTAGCTCGATGACAAAATTTACCACATTGAAAACACTTTCCTTGAAACTTCGAACATTTTTTTTAAATTCTTCTTGCCAGAAAATGCTGTTTTCTCAATGTCATCTCTTTGACGATTCGATATTGTAATTTCCTCAGCCAATAGCCTTTCTTTGACGAAATTGAGAGTCAACTTCTCTTCACTTAAATTTTGTAATGCAGTTACCAGTGGATCAAACTTTTCAGGTAATGCCACATATTAAAGCCCCCCCTGTCTTCAGCTGCCTTACTAAATTTTCAAACAAAACCAGATGCGTCGCTACAGACTCATCTTCTTTCATTCGAAGCGTTGCTAGCTGCTTTCGCACTAAAAGTTGGCGTAAAGTCGATTTCTTCGGAAATACCATTTCCAAATTTTCCCTCATTTCTCTGGCCGTTTTCTTGTCCCGAATATATCCTAGGCAATCGTTATGTACAAATCCCTCTAAGCGAACCTTAGCTTTCTTGTGCTTTTTTCAAAAACTCTGTCCTCTCTGCTGCATCATTTGGAGGATGGCCCGTTAAAGCCTCCGCCAAGTTGAGCGCTTCAAAATGTATTTCCACTCTGAACTGCCAATTATCGAAGCCGATTCCCGCGAACTGCGGAATACCCATATCTTTTACGTCGCCCATAACCTATTGAAGATCTAGGTATTTGTTATAAATGTAGATAAAATTTATTAGAGCAGAATGTATTGAACGCACCAAGGAAAGTTCAGGAATGAAAAAATATGACAATATATTTTTT